ATCCTTTTTTTCTTATTATTGTAACTAATTTATTCTTGTATTTTTTGTAGCTTTTTTCTGCTTCACTTGTTCTTTGCTTTAAAAAACATCTATATAAGGTATTTTTTTTCTTACAGCCATTCTGCAGCCCTTTTGTTATCCATGGATTGTTCATCCCTTGTCTTTTTGTTAGAATTTTGGTTTTTCAGTGTTTTTCAAATTGGTTACACAATATTCTTAAAAAGGAGTTGTAAGCCATGTTTACAAACTGTTTCCCAGTTGTGTTGTTCCAAGTCTCTTTTCAGTGCATTTATAGCGTTTTGTGACCTATCCCTTATTAGTCTTTGTGTTTTATGTTGAAATTTAATCCGATTATTTTTACAGACTGTAAAAATTGGCAGGTGATCACTGATGTCTGTCATTACAATTCCACTTCTCTCTATTTCCCTTGTAACTTTAGTAAATATATTATCTATTGTAGTTGAACTGTGTGCATTTATTCTTGTTGGTTTGGTTATCAGTGGAAACAGACCCAGTAGATACATTGAATTTATAAAGTCGTTTGCAGTCTTTGAATTATTTACATTTTCCAGATCAATATTAAGGTCTCCACAGAGAAATATATCCTCGTTGCAGATTCCACTCAACATTTCGGTAATTGTATTTGTAAAAGATTCTACACAGGATCCTGGTGCTCGTATGTACAACTTATTATTATGTTTTTTGTCTTCTCAGAAATGATTTCTATATTAATTATTTCCATTACATCATTGACATGTTATAAATAACTTTGCTTTTCAAATTATTACAAATATATAGTGCTACACCACCTCCTCTTTTATTTTTCCGATTTAGTAAATACATCTCATAGCCCTCTATTTGTACTTCTTCATTATCACCTTCTTTTAGCCATATTTCTGTAATTGCAATAATTTGAAATCTTCTTTTGTTTTGTGTTAAAAAATCCAAAATTTTGTAATAATTACAATACAAACTTCTACAATTGAAGTGAATGATTGAGAGTGATCCTTCTGATAAAACAGAATAATTTAGTTCTTGATCGCTGTAATATTCACATTCCTTATTCATATGCATGTACAAATTATTCTCTAGATACTTTTCAGGGTCATATTTTTTGTATTCTAGTTCCTCATTTGTACATGTAACATCTATTTTTTTTCCCTTTATTTACCAGAATTTCATTTTCATGCTTCTGTAGGTGATTTTACTCTGTTTTACAACCCTCTTCCCACTTTCAATGATTATTGAATTTTTCCAGATCTTTCCGATATTTTATTATCTTCGCTTGTGACCCTTCTTGTTCTTTGATCCATACATTCCCATTTCTTGTCCATGTTGCTACAATTTTTTTCTGCTTTTTTAAGATCTGTGCCTCTCTAGCTATTGTCCCATTTATTTTTGTTAAGTGTTCATTTATATATACATTGGTGCCTCAAAGCTTGCTTGCTTGCACCAGTACACTGTTCCTTTGTTTTCTGCTGATGAATTTTACAATAATAGCTGGCTTTGTTTTCTCTGATATTTTAGGCAGTGTGTGACATATAGATATAGCTTCTTTTTGGATAGTTATATTCTTACTGTGCAGAAAGGTAACTACTTGTTGTAAGTGTCTCAAGTTCTTTTTTCGAGGCATCTTCTGCTGAGTCATGATACATCACTGCTTTTGCATAGCTTTTGTGTCGGGTTTCCGGTCCCATTATTGTCAGATCCTCTCTTCTTGTGTACTGTTCTAGTTCATCAACTCTTTGCTCTAAAGCTGTTATCTTTTTGTCTTTTTCAGTCAACAGTACTTTAAGTTCTTTCACCTCCTCCACCAGTCTCAGTAATTGATTCTGCTGTGCTGTTATATTTGACAGCTCACCTGACATGAAGTTCAGTGATCGTTTGATCTCCAGGTCATCTTGAGCCATGTCTTTGCCTCGTCCTGCAGCTCTTCCTCCAGGCATCCCTGCTACTCAGATAGATGTTCAATTTGCGTAATCACCGCAAAGCGATGTTGTTGGTCCTGTCTCATTCGAACTACTCCTGGTTTGGTGCTGCTGGACCAGGCTGGTGGAAAAATGCTGGGATCAGTGTTGCTGGGTCAAGTCGGTGGAACAACCCGGGTTTGTTGTTGCTGGGCCAATCCGATAGTACCACGCCGGGTTTGGTGCTGTCACAATGAGCCGGTGGAGTCACGCTGGTTCGGTGCTGCCGGGTCGAGCCTGTAGAGTCACGCTGGTTCGGTGCCGCCGGGCCAAGCCGGAAAAGCCACGCTGGGCCGAGCCGATAGTACCACGCCGGGTTCGGTGAAATCTTCATCTCCATAAAGCTTTTCAGCAGATGGAAGCATGAAGTGCTCCAAAATCTCCTGATAGCTAGCTGCATTGACCCTGCCCTTGATAAAACACAGTGGACCAACACCAGCAGCTGACATGGCACCCCAGACCATCACTGACTGTGGGTACTTGACACTGGACTTCAGGGATTTTGGCATTTCCCTCTGCCGAGTCTTCCTCCAGACTCTGGCACCTTGATTTCCGAATGACATGCAAAATTTGTTTTCATCCGAAAAAAGTACTTTGGACCACTGAGCAACAGTCCAGTGCTGCTTCTCTGTAGCCCAGGTCGGGCGCTTCTGCTGCTGTTTCTGGTTCAAAAGTGGCTTGACCTGGGGAATGTGCCCGCACCTGTAGCCCATTTCCTGCACTCGCCTGTACACGGTGGCTCTGGATGTTTCTACTCCAGACTCAGTCCACTGCTTCCGCAGGTCCCCCAAGGTCTGGAATCGGTCCTTCTTCACAATCTTCCTCAGGGTCCGGTCACCTCTTCTCGTTGTGCAGTGTTTTCTGCCACACCTTTTCCTTCCCACAGACTTCCCACTGAGGTGCCTTGATACAGCACTCTGGGAACAGCCTATTCTTTCAGAAATTTCTTTCTGTGTCTTACCCTCTTGCTTGAGGGTGTCATTGATGGCCTTCTGGACAGCAGTCAGGTCGGCAGTCTTACCCATGATTGCGGTTTTGAGTAATGAACCAGGCTGGGAGTTTTTAAAAGCCTCAGGAATATTTTGCAGGTGTTTAGAGTTAATTAGTTGATTCAGATGATTAGGTTAATAGCTCATTTAAAGAACCTTTTCATGATATGCTAATGTTGTGGGGTAAATATGTTGCTTTTATGCTTAATATATTACCTTAACTTATGACCAATAAGCTGTGATATTCTATATAAATATAGGATATCAACCTTATTAGTCCTTCAATGTTTAATCAGAAGATTCTAGGATTCTTTGCTTTTTCAGTGATCAAACACACTTCATATCAATTCATAGTCAGGTTTATAAAAAGTAAGAAATTCATTTTCTAAACAAATTAAAACAAGACAAGTTAAATAAGACAACTGTGATGGATGAATATAAGTGGATGGAATGTGGTGTATGATGATTGAATGGTGTGTGTTTATCAGAACCTTGAATCTAGAAGAAACTGAGTTCTGGGTGTGAAAAGAATTTGGTCTGCATTAAACTAACAAAGTTGTATCTTATCAAAACCACATCAGATGCAATTCATGTCATGCCTACGTACCCGTTCCTGGAGACCCCGTTTTGATCGGAGATGTCAAGGAGTCTGTGACCGCAAATGCACGTGGCTCATAGGAAAACCTCGATGCGACCAAGTCAGTCCTAGGATGTCTCCCGAGTCACAACAGATAGATTAAATTGTTTGCGTCTAGAACAGCTGTTTCTGAATAGCTAAAGAAACTGTTTTGCTGTGTCAGCTGCAGCATTCAACAGGTTTTTGATAGCTTGTCAAGAGATGCGGTTAGAGAGTTTTCCCCCGGTGGCCAGTTGGGAGTTCTGCTCAAAAACTTAACTGAATCACTCAGCAAGTTTCTGTTTTAATATTCCCATATTATGATTACCTGGCCAATCGGGACGTGCCATGTTAAGAGATGTTAACAAACAACCCTCAAAACATCACGCCTTTTTTTCTGATTTGTGGGTAAGTACACATCTCTGTGCATGAAATTACTTTAATTTTAATTTATCTCTAATGGACATTGTGTCTGAGTGTAGATACTGATTCACTTGTTAAACCAAACATTACTGATCATAATATCAAAATGTTTCATTGTAATATAAAAATTCATTTCAACCACAGTAATTTAAGCACAGATTATTCAAACATTAGTATTAGTATCCATATCACATTTGTTCATTCAACCATTTTATTATTTAATGATTATTTAACTTATGAGTTGTAAAAGTTCTTCTTTCATGAGAGTGTGCAATCATGCGGTCTTATCAAAAGAAGGCTTTATTTGGGAACACAGGCTGACATCTTGTTCCCCCTGAAATGTCAACAAGGACTGCAGAATCTTCTGGGCTTTAGAAGACAGGATAGAAACTCCACTCAGATAGTGGAATTAGGTCTGTAGATGACCAGATATAGTGTAGGTCAATATGTAGGTGAAAATTGACCATTTCTGGACATTACACTAATTTTTTGAGATAGGAATTTGGGGTTTTCATGAGCTGTATGCCAAAATCATCAGTATTAGAAACAATAAAAGGCTTGAACCTTATGTACTCTTTCTTCTTACAGGGCCCAATTCCAAATACTCGCACTTCCACCCTTGTGCCCTTCAGTTGCACAATCCCAGCCAGGGGTGCCAGTGCGTCGGTTGTCCTGATTCCCAAGTGCGGATGCTGATCACGCTCCTTTTGAACCCTTTATCTGCACTTCGCCCAAGTCCACATCGATGCAGAGTTGGGCGAAAAGTATTACCCACAATTATTGCTGTGGGAGAAAAGGCTCAAGTGCCCTTTCTGAAAATATTTATTTTCAAATGAAAGTGGTTCATTATAGGATGATTAATAAATGCTCTGAATGTTTTAGACAAAGCAGCAATGAAAGAAATTGTATTTTGAATAATTGTTTGGTTGTTTGAAAGCTGTTAATAAAGGCTTACAAAAAGTAGCACAGCGACCAGCACAAAGGCCTGCATTGCGGTCGATGATGCAATGCTCCCTGTCCAATTTTGGCAATTATTTGCATACTTGTGTACTACCTAGTCAAAGCCTTACTGGGCACTTCCTCCAAGTGCACTTTGCCGAAGAGTCATTGTGATTGGGCCTTAATTCTCCATGTCCTCTAGAAAGCACCTACCCTGAAAAACACACAAATTTCTCTGTTGTCATTCACCTCTTAGTGGCAGAACAGCAGACTGTGTGCTGCATCGGGTTATTGACCTAATTGGTTTCATTTGATACACCTGGTCAGGGTTGTAGACAAGACCCCACTGATCAGCCCTGAGTGTGAGAATACAACTATTGATGGTGCTTATCTGCTTGGTCACTGATTTCTTTCGGATGTCTTCCACAGCCATGCTGTTTTTAAAATGTAATCGCTGAGTATTACTGAAAGGGATTCATGTCTGAAGTCCTTTATGTGAGTGTTTCAAACTAAGATGTTGAGAAAGAAAGGAGTTCCAGCCAGTTTGGTGAAATCTTGGAAATGCCATGTGAGATCTCATGTACTACCATAATCTGTTAAAGGTAAGAGTGTGTGATGTGAATGACTCGACTACAACATGAAAGTTTAGCTCAGTATCTGCAAAACTGAGTTAAAGTCAGTTTTTTTGTGGCAATACGGGAGTGGTCTATGACCTGTGGACGCCAAGGATGGCAATTGTATCTGCTCGAGTGCAATTTCATTAACAATGCCACCTTGGGAATTTCACCCAAGGAATTAAAGCATATAGATTCATTCCACTTGACAACAGACGTGGTTTCAGAAGTTACAATGATTTTATTTTATTTAAAAAAAACTGTTTAAAAGACATTTTAAAAACTGCCATGTAAAACATAAAAATGCTAAAATTAATGACAAGGACAAAACCAAATGAATTTAAACCAAACAAAAATATGTTGACAAGCAGGACTGAGGCTAGTGATGGAGGCAGGTGACTCGGGGCAGAGAAGCCCCAACCAGCAAAAAATAAAAATATCCGGGATTCACCCCCGGCAGTGAGCATTCATACCAACGTGAGAACCCAGCACCATCACACTCGCACACGGGACCACCACCTCCGAGGCCACACCCCACACCTCCTGCCTCAGCCTGCACAAAGAAAACTAAATTAAAAGAGAACTGTATAAAATCTGTACGATGTTGATCAGCTGTTCTGCCTCCTGGACTCCAGCCAGGAGCCAGGGGAACTTCCTTCAGCCAGCTGATTTAAAATGTGGTAAAGAGAAACAAGACGAAACAGCGGCGCCTCCGGCCGGACCACGGAGGAATCTAAAGGACAGGGAAGAGGTAGAAAGTTACCCAACAAACAAATGGCCCAGTGTGGGGACGGCGCAGCACACACCTACCGGTCCTCCCGCTAGTAACGCCTGAACAGAAGGGAACTCTCTGCCCAGAAGCAACGAGGATTCAGCAGGCAAGCGATGACATCACACCCAACACTGACCCAAATGCCCAAGCTGCAAAGTTCACAACACAGACTGAGACACAGTAGCCCTAACGCTAAACGATAGCCATCTAGGTACATACCACGGTTGAAGCAGAGCCGATCGCACCATAAACGCAGCCTGAGGACACGGGCTGGCAGTACCAAAACGCAGCGGCATAATGGCACCAGCTGTTTCCCGAACCTACTTCCTTACCAGAAGAGCTCCCCTTTTATAGCAGCAGCGCCCTCCTACGTGCGGAGGGCGTACTGCTCTAAACCAATAAAATTGGAGCATGCGTTTCATAATGCTACATTTTGTTTAGCTCATACTGTGAATGAGGTGGATTCTAAATGTTGATTGGTTGTTGGTCCGTATATGACCTGTATTAGAACAGCGCCTTCTTACCCCCAAATTCCACTACCTCCGCTCCGCTCCGCTCCGGTCCGCCCCCGCCTTCCGCAGCCGCTCGCTTCCGAACTCAATTTACTGTACCCGCTCTACGTACGGCTCCGCTCCGGTGCGGAGACCTGAGGGGGGCAAACAAGCATGCGCGGGATTTTCGAGATCTTGCGATACAGTCCGAGCAATAAACGCGGAAGTTAGATCCAAACACCCGTTGTGCGGGAGAAGCATCGGAAATGAGCTGTTTAATCTGCCCATCATTGTGTTGAGAGATCAGCAGTGTTTGGATCAACAAAGTGTGACTACTTTGATAGTGGCTACTGTATTTATGGCTTATTTTTGTGCATTTAAACTTCAGCCGCCATTGATAGTTGTTAAAAGTTGTTAAACCTGTGCATATGAAACAAAAAACGCCTTTTGTTTAGCGATTTATTGTGAAAAACGGAAGATGTGCTTGCTCCTTTTCCTGTTGGGCCGTTGTGATTTCTGTCCATTTACTGCGGAGGTGCTCCGGCGTCCGGCAAAAATAGGATCGATTCTATTTTTGCCGGACGTCGGAACAGAGGGCGCCGCACGGCGCCGCACTGCCGGAGCACGGCCGCAGTAGTGGAATTGCTCTGATTGACTAGAACGGGACCGATTTTGCTCCGGCGTCCGTGTCGGAGCGGAGCGCAGCGGAGCGGAGGTAGTGGAATTTGGGGGTTAGGGTTCTACAACCCCTCAAGGTGCTTCACAACACAATCAGTCATTCACTCATTCACATGCTGGTGGTGATGACCTGTAATGTAGCTGCAGCTGCCCCAGGGCACACTGACGGAAGTGAGAGTACCAAACACCACCAGCAGGTTGAGCAGGTTAAGTGTCTAGCCCATGGACACAAAAGCAGCTTTCTCTGGTGGGAGCCGGGATTGAACCTACAGCCTTCCAAATACTGGACACCCCACTCTACCTCCTGAACTACTGCTGTCTTTGGAATAAATGTTAATGACATGCTAAGAAAACCATTTTTAAACACAGAGGTTCATAACATAGCCTGCTAAGAGATGAACAGAGTTGATTCCTGCAAACAATGTAAAAGTTTTACTTAAAAATCTTGTATTTGAGTAGGGCATGACTCTTAACTATCTACATTTAATTCAATGGTATTAAAATATTTGCACGTTGCTTTGTTTCCAAAGTCATCTTGCCGTGGCAGCCATCTTGAAGTATGGCTCCAAAAGTTACCCAAGGACCACCACCTGTAGATGTACCTGACGTTCAGTCTGGATATTCCTGGTACATTCAATTCAGTTTCAAATCATCAATTCCTGCGTTAAGACGTATTGCGTTACCTGTTTTCACACCGTGTAGCCTTTCGATGTTTCAGACTTGCTTGAATTTATCTGATTTCTCTGTTCTGAGACATTTTTCAGTTACTGTAGCACATACACATGCTAAAACACATTTTCTGTTGTTGCATGTACCTAGACTTTAGGGAATCTTTAGTTTTGTGGATTTTTTTAATGTTAAAAGACTTTGCTCACCTAGTTAGCCTCAGTGCGGCTATGTCTCCTCCTATCTCTTCGTCTCCTATCTCATGCTCTACGCTTCAGATCTTTACTCCTCTGCCTCCTTTAGTGATAATGGTACGTGTAATAAATGTAGCATTTTTGCTGCTTTGGAGGCAAAGGTGTTGGAATTCCCATTAGGATGGAAATATACTTGCTTTTTACCCTCGCATTGACATAGGCTGCGTCTTGTTCACATACTTGCAGCTGCACTAAATATTACTGGAGTGTTCCACTAGGGGGCCCAGTAGAGTACTCAGACCAGATAAGAGTCCCAGGTTTTTACAACCAAAACAAACATGTCGTCAATAGAAGAGATCAGTAACTGGTTATTTTGAGATCAGGACAAAAACAAAGACAGCAGCAGTACTGTAGATGGTATTAAAGACCTACAAAGCAGAAATGGAGTGACAATGGCAAATGTGTCTTGCTTGTTCTGTCCACTCCTCCTACCGGTTACTCATTTATCGCAGCTTGTGAACGTGCTGTGGTAATTTTGGGGGAGGAGCACAACTGACTCTTCAAATCAACGCAAGTTACGCAAGGCAGCCATTTTAAACAAACATACGCATCATTAACAAGCAAGAATATTCCCGCTCTTAGTGGCCTTCTAGTAGAATCTGAGCAGCCGGGACCTCAGGCTGGCTGGGTGACGGTACGTAGGAGTCTTAGTCCCAGAACCTAGCCCACGGGAAACCACCAATCCGTCTCCATTTTTTTTTTCCACTCAGTGATACACCCACTGAGAACAAGCCTGGTTGTTACAACAAAGTATACCAATCACAGAAACAGAAAAACAAGAGCGTACATCTGTATCTTCTGATGTCAGCAAAAGTGCAAAATGCTTTAGGTAAAAATATGGAAAAAAATATTTTCTTGGTTGATAGAGGTTCTTTGTGAGAGAAAAACAAATTACCTGTAAAGGACCAACAGTCCCATTATTAAATCGACCACTGATTTGCTGTGCTGGACTCACTGTTAATCTGTCTATATAAAACAGGTCTCTAAAAGTGGAATTTCTCACTGCCACATGGGTTTTGTTTGTTTTCTGACATTTACCACCATTTTCTTCCCATCTATTTATTCTAAAGTGAAGAAGTCCACAAACAGCCAAAGATATGTGGGTAAGCAAGTATACCATGATTTCAATATAAGCCACCTAATCAATAATTCACTCACAGTGACTTATTTACCATGCACATAAGATTAAAAAGCTGAGATGACCTTGTATCAATGAACCTCTTGTTTGATTAAATCTTCAGCTAATATGATGGTTTTACCACATAGTCCAATAATGTCCAAAATAGAATTTTAAATGGTCACATAAACATTGTTAATTTACATCTGGATCCTTATATGTGGTCCTTGAACAGTTTGCATGTTTTCTGTATTTTGCACATCTGTTATTTATGCATCATTTGCTGTTCATCAACCTGAACGCACCTTAAACATCTGTGGCTGCTGCTGTCTCTATCTGCTGCAGCTCTGGAAGAATTCAGGTCTCTGAGGATGTTTGCTGAATGCAGGATTTAATCTGCTTCTTATTCTTCTGTGATGTCAACAAAAGAGGCTCCAGTTCTATGTGACGATCTATTTCTTCCCTTAGTTCCTCCTTGATGATTCTTCTTCTCTGACCTTCTCACTTCGAGACACACTGTAGTCCACTGGATCACAGTCTGAACAGGGTAATCTTAGTTATTGTTTTCATGAAAGCAGAAATTACATGTCCGAGTTGATTTAAGACATGCTGTGCCTTCTTGCTGGTAAATGAATTCACTGCCAAGTTAGAAATGCTGAACGTAAAAAAGAGGTTCAAAAAGAGCCAATTGATAAAAAAATATATAAAAAACTGGTGGAACTTAATCCAGAACCAGATGTTTTGAAGATCAATTGCAAATTTGAATGCACGTGAAGATGGGTAAAGATATGAAGCTGAGATATGTTCATTTGTATGACCAAGCATATTTGTATTAATTATTATATTAATAAAAACATGCTAATAATAATTATTAATGCAAGTCTATTTCTTCTATGTATTTTAAATGTTCTTATTATGCATTTGTAAGAATTTTGTTTGTTTTCCTTTCATTCCCCTCAACAAATGAGTAAATCTTTTACAGTGAAATAATCACAAATAAAGTCTAAATATTTCATTAATGTTAGAATGACGGTTACATTGAAACAGATTTACTTTTCAGCCAGCTGGAGGCTGTCAGTTTTCTTCTTTCAAAAAGGATTGTAGTCTTTTTTACAATCTGTGAACCCGCGGAGTTGTTGAGTCTGCGCGAGCTAACGAGCATGAGACACCTTAACACCCCGCCTCCCACTACACCACCCCCGCTGTCACATGGAACAATGCTAGCAGCCCTGGTTTTGGCATTGCTGCGGTGTTTTGTAAAGATCCTAAGCCAGCTACAGGTGTATTAGAAAAAAAATCGCTGGCTCTAAAATTATCTCAAGCTTTTTTTCAATTCAACTCAATAATAAAGTTAATTGTGTTTATCTACTGCGTATGACTGGTCCTCACTCATCTAGACTCTTCGGGTGCTGAGCTGTAGCTGTCAACAGCCACAAAACGATAGTGAGAAAGTCACTCTTGTGCCTAGAACATGGGCTGCAGTGACCAAATGTGACCACAGGATGTCAGTCTTCATTTCTAAATGATAAATGACCTGCACTTGTATAGCGCCTTTTAGCGTCGGAGGACTCCATAGTGATTTACACTAGAGTTTATCCAACACCCATTCACACACCGGTGGTGATGAGCTACACTGTAGCCACAACTGCCCTTGGTCATACTGACAGAGGTGAGGCTGATGAGCACACTGCACCACCAGCCCCTCTGACCATCACCAGCAGGCAAGGTGGGTGAAGTGTCTTGACCAAGGACACAAGAGCAGTATTTTCTAAGGTAGTCAGTATCAATTCTCCAACCCCCTGATTAGTGGACAGCCTGCTCTACCTCCTGAGTTACTGCTGCCGTGCAAAAACAAACTTTAAGGCTTTGTTTTTTTATAAAAATCCACCATCCCAAAAAATAACCTCCACACATTTTTAGAAAAAACTCCATCCACACGTAAGTGCAAAAGTGCATTGTTAAGCACATTCATAAGCATGCCAGGCCTGTAAGCGACAGTGGTTCCTCCGAATCCTATCAATTTTGTCTTCCTGCTCAAAACATGAAACATGGTGCCTAGCTTGTTTGTTTGGACCATCACTAGTGTGGACCAATAAGGAGGTAGAATTGCACTTAACCCTCCCACTGTGTTTAGGAGTGACCCCGCGAGGAAAGTTGACCATTGAGCAGGATTGATTGTTTATCCTTTGAGGTCCATGGGGCAGGGGTGAGGTGGTGCTCACTCCTCACCCCTGCCACATGGACCCAAATGGTCAACTTTCCTCGTGCGGGTCAC